GAATTTTTGCACTTGGCGCGGGACACGTGTTTCTTGTTCTTCTACGATATGGATCATCCTCGGTTCCTCGAACGGCCCCCGCGGACTGCACGATCATCCACGTCGACCGCACGGAGTCCTCGAATTCTGGATTTACTCGTGCGCGCTTGTACACTCTCGCACTTCCGCGCTTTAAAACGTTATTTCCCCACCCTTCCCCCCGTTCTCACTCTCTCTCTTTCTCTCCTAGAATCGCAGCGTGCTTCTATTTTATTTATCTCAATGTCCTCTCCTCCAACTCTAATGGTCTCTATTAGGAGAGAAGGAGTTCGAGTGGCCAATTTAGAAACCCACCGGGTCTCTTCGCCTTATCTCGCCCTTTACACGTGGCTCTTTAGAGATATTTACCGAAAGGTACACACACACACACACACCCGCACGTGCGCACACACATACACATGAAGGAACACCTGAGCTCCTCTGCTTTTTACACCTACGAGAGGCGTCTCGAAAGTGAAACCGCCTTGTCTTCACCCTGTCTATCGCGAGATAGCTGAAGCGACGATGACGTACGCACGCCTTTCGGCAGAGAGAGAGAGAGAGAAGAGGCTGTCGCGAAACTCGCGTATAAGTGACTAACATAAACTATTACGCAACGCGCGCGCCACGCGGCGTGTAATATACATACACGATTACGGGTAACAATATTGTGCGTGCATAACGCGGTGCGTTGTAACACGATAGTGCAACAATACCGCGTGAATGCTGGCACGCATTAGCCGTAATCTATAAGACGGTGGTGCTTCACGCGCAGTGTGAGTCAATATATAGCCATTGTGCTCTCCCCCGCGGGAACGTATGTGCATATGTGCGTTGCGTATGCGCGTTGTAACCTATCGTGCGCGTATCGTCGCACCCACGTTCCTTACACCGCATTACGAGCAGCCGCATGGCGATCGTAATGCGCGTTCGCGCGGTTATCGCGAAATGTTCGGTGTTCGCCTCTCCGAGATTCGCCCGAATTATCAACGTGATCTCTTTGGGACTAATTAAGCCCCGGATTAAATGTAGACGCGCGAATCGGTCCCGCGAGCTTCTTCCGCTTCTGACGAGGCTGTTTGAGACACGTACGAGAGGCCGTTGAGATTCGATCGGCCGGAGAGAGTCTTCAGAGATTCCAGCGCTGCCGCTCGTTTAAGTTACCTTTCGTCACTTTGGCGATTTTAACGATCTTGCGAAAAGCGGAAGAGAGGGACGTACGATGTCGACTTTCTCGTTTCGCGGCGGCACGCGGAAGGCTGCCGCGCGCGGACGAATCGCGCGTGTGTGTGAAATTTTTCGCGGCGAAAGGCGTAATTAGGATTTCAATGCCCGCGTAACTCGGGGAGCTTAAACGGCTCACGCGGAACAGAACCGGGGTTGAAAGCTACGTATATATGTGTGTCGGGATTCGCTCAACGGCGCTCGCGTCCGTGCTAAGCTAACGTCGAACAGCTCCCGAATGCGTATTTATCTCCCGGTATCTCCGCGCCGTAATATTTGCGAGCGGGAGGGGGAGATAAAGCGGAAGAGACGCGCTCGGACATTGCATTGCTGGCGAAGGTAGGTAGGTAGGTAGCTAGGCGGCTAGGTGGGTGAGTAGGTAGGTAGGACGTTGCCGGTTACCGCGGGAAAGCCCGGGAAAGTCGGAAGGAGAGAGTAGAGTAGAGAGAAAAAGAGAGAGAGAGAGAGAGGAGGGGAAAGAGAGGAAGGGGAACGCAATCTAGGAACTCTCGGGAACCAATCTCCTCTGATGAAAATACCTTGTCCTCTGTGAGGTCTGATACCGCACCTGCGGGGGCCAATTTCGTTCGTTACTTTTTGGAATACCGCGAGTACGTTTGAATTGGACGTTCCGCCGCCGTGGTCGTCGTTGCGAGACGCATTCCGGGGGAACGTTTTGAGGGTACGTGCGGGCGGGCGTGTCGGCAAAGCGCAAGGCCAAGGAGGCGGAAAATGGATTGCTCGCGAGAAACGCGAGAGATTTTTCTTCCTCGCGATTGACTACTCTCTCGGCGAGAAATATCGACGTGGCTTAATTGAGGCTCGCAATTCTCTCTCTCTCTCTCTCTGTGTGTGTGCGCGCGCGCGAAGAATGATAACGTAAAAAAAGGACGTATTGGGTATACACACGGTAGAGGTTGCACATTACGTGTCCTCAATCGAATGTCTCTTCATTGTTCTCTTCGTATTTGTTAATTCAAAGTCTTCGATCCGCGTGTCCCCCTTTTTCCTCGGCAAAAGTATCGACACGTCTCTCCATTCGCCTTCGGTTATCCCCGAGCGTAATCGACGGTTAAAAATTAATCTGAATTTTAACCTTCGTGGTTATTTCTCTCGCGCTCGATTCGTGCGCGGGGAGACGTCACTGTAGCAGCAGCCCCCCGGGAGCTGCGAGACGAGTATGACAACGTATCCCTCCCTTCGACATTTCCGTTTCGGAGAAAATGATTCCGGCCGTCGCGGAATCTGTCAATAAAAATACGATCCGTTTATTCTTAGACGCCCCCCCCCC